TCTTTGCGGGGGGGGGGGTGTGTGTACAATTTAATCCATAAACAAAGGATACGATGTGTTGGAGGAAATCAGATTCTTTGGTTGCTTGAAGAATTTGTGAACAGGGAGGGAGTCAGATAAAATGAGAAGTCCCTAAGAGAATAGGAGTGACAGATGATGATAGTGTACCTCCTAAGAATTTTAGTGGGATGATGTACATGAGATTCTTTGATTGCCTTTCAGGCAGGAAGCTATCTGAGTTGTGATTGGCATTTCCACATTCTATATCTAATTTATATAAGTCATAGAACTAAGCTTTTATTTATCCTCTGCCCCTAAATCTAATATACTCCACCTCTTCTTTCTATTCTTGAGATGAAGAATAGATTCAATGCCATGAACACTAATGACTGAAGACCAGACCACTAATGGAATGACATAAAGGACATCGTATGTGAAGAAAGAAAAAGATCATTAAAAAGATAAAAAGAAAAGAAAAAACAAAAATGGATATCAGAATAGGCCTTGAAATTTGCTCTTTAATGTAGAGTAGCTAAAGTGAAAGGAAAAAATGATAAAGTAAAATTGCTGATTTCAAAGGGTGGCTCAAGAACACAAAGTAAAATATTATAATGAAATATGCAAAGACTTAGAGTTAGAAAACCAAAAGGAAAGGACACACGTGGCATTTCTCAGGCTGGAAGAACTGAAGAAAAAATTCAAGCTTGGATTGCAATATTGAATGATTCTATGGGCAAAATCATAGCAACATACAAGCCACTACAGTATGACAAACTGACAGACTAGTGGTGGTTTTTTCAACAACAAAAATGTGATTATCCATGTAGACCTTGTCAGGTGGAATACACAGGAATCAAATCCACTGTATATGTGAAAAGCAGTGATAGAGAAGCTCAGTATCATCAGTCAGAACAAGGCCAGGAACTGACTGTGGAACGGACCATCAATTGCTCATATACAAAGTCAAGTTGAAGCTGAAGAAAATAAAAAGAAGTTCACAGGAGCCAAAATATGGCCTTGAGTATAACCAAAAACCAAACCAAACTCACTGCTGTGAAGTCGAATTCGACTCATAGGAACCCCTCCTTGGGTTTCCAAGGTGGTATCTCTATGGAAGTAGATTGCCCAGTCTTCCATCTGAGGAGTGACTGGTGGGTTTGAACTGCCAGCCTTCTGGTTAGCAGTCAAATGCTTTAGGCACTATGCCACCAGAGCTCCCTGACCTTGAGTATACTCCACTTGAATTTAAAGACCATCTGAAGAATAGATTTGATGCATTGAACACTGATAATTGAAGTCCAGACAAGTTGTGGAATGACATCAAGAACATAAAGAAAGCAAAAGGTTATTAAAAAGACAGAGAAAGAAGAAAAGACAAAAATGGATGTCAGAAGAGATTGGAACTTGTTTTTGAATGGAGAGTAGCTAAAGAGAATGGAAGAAATGATGAAATGAAAGAACTGAACAGATGATTTCAAAGGGTGATTTGAGAAGACAAAGTGTTATAATGAAATGTGCAAAGATCTGGAATTAGAAGACCAAAAGGGAAGAGCACACTCAGGATTTCTCACACTTAAAGAACTGAAGAAAAAATTCAAGCCTTGAATTACAATATTGAAGGGTTGGTTATATGGGTAAAATATTGACTCATGCAGGAAGCACCAAAAGAAGATGCAAGAATACACAGAGTCACTGTAACAAAAAAAAACTGGTCAACTTTCAACCATTTCAAGAGGTAGCATATGATCAATAACCAATGGTATTGAAGGAAGGATTCTGAACTGCACTGAAAAAATTGGCAAAAACCAAGGCTTGAGGAATTGAGGGAATGAATATCCATTAGATTTTTCAACAAATGCATATAACACTGGAGGTGGTCACTCGTTTTTGCCAAGAAATTTGAAAGATAGCTACACTGCCAACCTACTGGAAGAGCTCCATATTTGTGCCCATTCCAAAGAAAGGTAATCCAACAGAATGCAGAAATTATCAACCAATATCATATGCAAGTAAAGTTTTTTAAAAAATGAGTTGTAGCAGTATGCTGACAGGGAACTTACAGAAACTCAAGCTGGATTCAGAAGAGGATGTAGAATGAGGGATATAATTGCTGATGGAAGATGGATCTTGGCTAAAAGAGAAAATCAGAAAGATGTTTACTTGTGTTTCATAGTCTCTGCAAAGGCATTCAACTGTCTGGACCATAACAAATTATGGATAACACTGCAAAGAATGAGAACTCCAGAACACTTAATGTGCTCATGCAGAACCTGTACATAGACCAAGAGTCAATTGTTCGAACAGAACAAGGGGATACTTTGTGGTCTAAAATCAGGAAGGGTGTGTGTCAAGATAGTATCCTTTCACCATACTTATTCAATCTGCATGCTGAGAAAATTATCCAAGAAACTGGATGATGCGAAGAAGAGTGCTACGTCAGGACTGGAGGAAGACACATTAACAACTTGAAATATACAGATGACACAACTTTGGTTGCTGAAAGTGAAGAGGACATGAAGTACTTACAAGCGAAGATGAAAGAGTACAACCTTTAACAATGGAGTACACTTTAACATAAAGAAAGCTAAAATCTTTACAACTGGATCAACAAGCAGCATCATAAAAGACTGAAGTTGTTAAGGATTTCATTTTACTTGGATCCACAACCAATGCCCATGCAAGCAGCAGTCAAGAAATCAAATGACATATTGTATTGGGTAAATCTGCTGCAAAATTTTCTTTACTGTGTTAAAGAACAAAGAGGTTACTTTGAGGAGTAAGGTGTGCCTGACCCAAGCCATGATATTTTCAATTGCCTCATATGCATGCAAAAGCTGGACAATGAATAAGGAATACTGAAGAAGAATTGATACATTTGAAGTATGGTGTCGGCAAAGAATATTGAATTTACCATAGATTGCCAGAATAATGAACAGATGTGTCTTGGAAGAAGTACAGTCAGAATACTCATTAGAAGGGAGGATGGTGAAGAAACACATCATGCTTGGTAAATTAGAAGGTCTGCAATAAAGAGGAAGACTCTCAATGAGATGTTTTGGCACAGTGGCTGCAACAGTGGGCTCAAGCCTAGCAAAAATTGTGAGGACGGTGCAGGAGTGGGTAGTGTTTTGTTTTGTATATAGGGTCATTGTGAGTCAGAACCAACTGGACAGCACCTAACAACAACATCTCTTCTTTCTTTTCACCATTTGGTAGATTTCCATGATTATCTGTTGATGAGGACATTCTGAGTTTGTTTGCTTCACAGACATGCTTGGATTTTCATAGGAGAGCTGTAAAAATAGTTGGAAATTGAGGGAGAAGGAAGAGATTTTAGTATTTCCAGATTTGGCCAGTGAAAATTTTATAGGCAGAATAAAATTTTTGCGGACAACATGGTATTTGGAATTTATTTGTAAAACCATTCTGCTGGGCTTGGAGATGTCTTTGAAATGCAGTGAATGATGAAGGAAAGCTCAACCTCAATAGGCCACAGGGCGTGGCCAGCTCCCCTGTCTCCCCCAAATAGCAAACACTTTCTCTTCTTGCAGAGAATTGTCTGCATCCCTGAAGATGAAAATCAATGACTTAGAAACTGATTAAACAATCCAAACAGCAACTGATAAATGGATTAACCCTCTCTAATGTAATTCTGCAAGCTTTTGTCTTCCGCCTTTCCCAGGTAAGTTTTTCTATTCCTGGAGGCAAAGCAAAGGCAGGGAGGAAGTGAAGGCCAGAGGGAATCATATTAAAGTGGGTGAATCCGTTTATCACTTACTGTCTGGATGGTATTTCTGTTCACATATATGCTTCCTTTTACAGATTTGTACCCTATGGGATCCTGATTAATGTTAGCCCATAAATAAAGAAAGATAGCAGCAGACATTTAGGTATGGTGAGGAGGTAGATAACCCCAGTGGTTAAGGCTGATCCCATAGATGGAGAGACTTTTCTTCTTAGGCACAAACAGGGGGTGTTAATGATTCCTTTGGGCTATTTCACAAAGAAATATCCATAATAGGGATAGAAAAATGGAGGCATTTCTCCCCATGCAAAGAATGAGTGAGTCCACAGCTTGGAACCAGCCCCTAGAAATGGAGAAGGATTTCAGTCCTTGAGGACATGGGCTGTTCTCACAAGGCTTAGTTTTGAAGATCGTGTCTAAAGATTTTTTTTTTTTTTTTTTTGCTTTTAAGGAGAAGACTTTCAGCATGGTGGGTTATAAGATAGTGTGTTCAGTTACTTGGGAAACTCTTAAGCCTAAGGACGTGCTCACTAACTCATCATTCAACTCATCTTTGACAAGAGGCCTGAGCTAAGTGTCTATTAAAACTGGGTCCAGTTCTAATTCTAGGCACTTGGGGTCTACAGACTACCTTGTCTTGGGTGCTTTCTATGACTAATGAGTTGGGGTTTTGGGGAGGTGAGGCTGAACAACACCAGACACTTCATGTATCTGCCAAGATGCTCATCGAAGTCCTCAAGAGCATCTTCAATTTCCTTCAAGGAAATGACCATCTATCAGTGCTTCTTTGTTTTCCTTTGCAGGGACAGGAGGAATATCTCCTAAACAAGAACATCTTTCCCAAGGGCAAGGTCCAGGTATTGACTCTTCTCTCTCCCTCTAGACACACCACTGTTTATGGTTGCCACCTAGCGTTGTTCAGTGCTGAGAGAAGTCACTTGACTAGTAGATCTTCTGGATGGTTTGCTCATCCAGAGATGTAGTCAGAAGAGCAAGGAAGTTGCTATAAAAATACAAGACTAGGAAGTATTGAAAAATTACACCAAGCTCTGAATGACTTGCAAGGCATTAGTACTATGGGACCAAGAGGGATCAAAAAGAAAATTTAGCCCAATTTAACAACTTTGTTGTGACCTCAGGTTCTAAACTTCATATTTTTTCTGAAGCAGATTCTGCCACACTGTGGGAGGAGAGGTGGAAGCAGTAGAAACTTATTTCAGCCTAAGCTTGGACTTTTTTCTTAATATTTTCACAGCCCAGAAAGGACCAGATGGGACAGTCATTCCCAATAACTACTGTGACTTCTGCTTGGGGGGCTCTAACATGAACAAGAAGAGTGGGAGGCCTGAAGAGCTGGTGTCCTGTGCAGACTGTGGACGCTCTGGTGAGTGTGGCCCCTTCTTGCATCGTGTGCCATAGACCAGGAAGTGTTCCACTTGCATCCTTTTGTCATCTTGGAGAGGTTTGAAGGGCAGAGTGGAAAAGTGGTGATGGTGATGATTTTGAGTGGAGGGGAGTTTTTAGGGGATTTTGATATTTTTCATCTTTGAGTCTGAAGAACCGAAAGTTATACCCAGGGAAAAGAACAAGGAGAAGTTTTTGATTTGTTTATGGCCGTTCCATGAGGTGGATTTCTTTTGTGTGTATTGTTGCAAACAGCAGTGAGACAGAGTGGAAACACCAGGAGACACAGGCAACATGCTTTCTTATATTGGCTGATGTGAATGTAACAAAAAGATATGTTTGTTCTGTGGAAGTGCCGGCAGCAAACTGGAAGAGTATTGGAAGAGCAGCCACATCTTGAATTGTGGGAGTCAGAGACCCCTGGGCTCCTGGATAGCTTCATAACCACACCTCCATCAATCACTCATTCCATTTTCTCATATGGAACAGATAAAAGAGACCCTGACAGATCAGGGAAGAAAATGGGCAAGTGTTCGTAGGGCGAGTCTGCAGTTGACCTGGCATATTTTCTTTTCCACCATTTAATCTAGCTGAGGACTAAAGTTTAAAAAAAAAATAAAAAAAGACTTTGGTCTCCTTCCTTCATTCTTAAAATGAATTCTGGTCTTCAAACTTTATTCAAGTTATTGTTTTGTTTTTCACTTCTAACCAAACCATTATTTTTGGCTGATCATGGTTGGTTGGTGCTATCTATTTTTCAAACTGTTTCATGTCGTAACTAGGTCAAAGTACAAGGCAGGGAGGAGAGAGGATTTCAAGCTTATCTTTATTCTTATCAACTACTGGCTAGTAGGTGAAACACAATTCAGTTGGGTGGTCAGTTCCAACAGTGAGGGTCACTGCTCTGTCTATCTTTCTGCTCAGTCTCGGCTACTCTCAATCCACAAGAGAAGGGCTGAGAGGACCATACCTCGGCTGGTCGGAACTCGTTAATTCTCCCCTTCCTTTATCTGTAAACCTTAACTTCAGCCTTTTTATATTGTACTGCTAGGGTAGCTTAGGGCTAGAATATCAGCAATTAGAAAAGGACTATGCTTTAGAAATTAGAAAAGAACTATGGTTTCCAGACATGATACCTAATATGTTGAAATTTTTACTCTACTGGTGCTAGCTTAGAAGGCAGGGCGTATATGTTAATGGCCACTGGTTTTTAGATAATTAAAAAGAAAAGAAAAGAAATGAAATTTGGTTTTAAAAAGCAAGAAGTTGGGCAAAATCTCTACTTTGGGATGCAAGGTCACTTGGCAGAGTGATATTCTAAGTAGAAAGTTATGAGCTACTGTAGGTTTGGGGTGGGCTAGAGAGGGAAGCTTCAGAACTCTCATTGCAAATGTCTATAATATCTCCTCTCCCTTTCCCATAAAAATTAGGGTACTTGAATTTGATCCATGGGGGACAAGAAATGGGCAGTTAATTTTGTCTACCCAAAGTTAATTTTGTCTCTCCACAGCCTTCACTCAGCTCTCTTTTCCCAGGTTCTGTCTGTTATATAACTTGGGGGCCATTTTATAGCAGTCTAGGTATTCTCATTGCATTTGCTGAGGCTTAATTTTGGTGGATCATTTACTCAGGGCCTAACCCTGATGTTCCTGCAATAGTTGATACCTTGGGAATCCACAGGTGGCGTTAGCCCTGGGATATGTTTATTAAGGCAGGTGGCGAAAACTTCTGTCGGGCCTCCCTGGGGTTCTTGCAGGGGTGGCCAGAGGAGCTGTCTCTGCCTTCCCTTTTATTCCACTGCTTCTGTGTCCTGGTGGAAAGTGAAATTCCTAAAATTGGCATCGTAACTACTTTATTTGGGGACCCATTTAGAAATGTGAAAAAGTTTAAACCTGAATTTTATAGATTTCAATATTAAGACTTTTACCCTTATTTCTCACTTTAGTAGTGTTCTAAGTTAGACTTGACAACTCTTTGAACTAAGTAGCCAAGTAACTAAGACCTGGACATGCTTAGTGGCTGGTATTTGTATGTGTGTGTGTGTGTATGTATGTACATGTATGTGTGTGCAAATCACAAAACCTTCCTCCAGTGGTTAAAAAAAAAAAAAGACTCTTTTATTCCTTACCATTTATCAGGCTTTCCAACTTCTTTTCGCTTTTAGTGCAAATGAACTACATGATATAAGGGCAGAATTGAAAGGGTATCGAAAGAATGGGATTAGAAGCCGGTAAAAATAAAAATGAAATGGATGGAGGCTTAACCATCTTGAATGGGTTATCTGACAGTAATACCTTTGTAAAATGGACTGTCAAAGTGAGGGACGAACATTGTTCAAGGAAACACCCACCAAAAACACTAAAGAAATACCAGTCAGGCTTAGAAACTATCTGGGAAAATCATTGTCTGGGACAGGGTTGAGTGAGTGTGGGTGTGTTTGTGTGCATACGGAAGAGAAGAAAGACCGTGGCTGAATCTTCCACTGTCAGAAGCTGTACACATATGTATTATCACAGAGATGATGCCTCTTCTCAGGCCACAGAGGTTGTCTTCCCTGGAAATGTTTGCTTTGTCCCGTTATCCCAAATCCCCGGCACCAGATGATGTACCTGGTTAATCCCTTTTGGTGTGAACTGGTTTTCTATTTTGTTGTTAAGAATAACATTGTAATAGTGTAATAAGAATATTAATAATGATGTCTGTTGCTTAACCCATGTGCTGATATATTCATCATACATGTCAGCTCATTTGGGAGGAGAAGGCAGGAAGGAGAAGGAGGCAGCAGCCGCGGCTCGCACCACGGAGGACTTATTCGGTTCCACGTCAGAAAGTGACACGTCAACTTTCCACGGCTTTGACGAGGACGATTTGGAAGAGCCTCGCTCCTGCCGAGGACGCCGCAGTGGCAGGGGTTCGCCCACGGCAGATAAAAAGGGCAGTTGCTAAACCCATGGAACAGACTCTCTGGGCAATCCGCCAACACCCTCTGACTTTGGTCATTGCTCTGGTTCTGATATATTTTTTTTAATGAACGACAACTTTAGGTTTTTCCTTTACCCTTGCTTTTTCCACTCATCTTCCACGCGTGTTCCTACCTCCCTTTCCCCCTCTTTTGGGTATGTACGGCAGAAGCACAAACTACTGAAAACAAAATGAAACAAGTAGGATGAAAGTCCTTCCAAGGGAGAAGGAATCATGACGTACTATTTATTTTCCATAGAAATGGAATGTTAGGCAGATTCTCTCTCTTTTGGGGTGGGGGAGGGGATCTTTTAGACATGAGCAGAGTTGATTTCCTCAGTTTTCTTATTTATTGGCAAAATGAAGAGAGGAGGAACATTGGGTTTGGAAACAAAGACCCAATAACATTAAAACTATATATTATTTATATATTCTAGCTATTATTAGACACAGACCTTTTTTTTTTTTTGAGAGAAGGGAAATCGAAGAATTCGAAGTAATATCCTGTTAGAAGAAAGCCACTGGGGGGAGGATTGTCTCAAGGAAACCTAGTCAGGATGATTTCCTCCATGGGAGATGGTTGCACGTTCTGTACCCCGTGGAGTCTGTGGCTCCCCACAGCAGACCCCTTCCCGTTTCTCCTCCCTGACCTTCCCATCCTCCTCCCTGCTTGCAAGAATCGCAGCAGCCCCAGAGAAGTCCGGGGGCGCCCGGCGCCCGGGCCCCTGACCAGCAGCCGCCTCGGCAGCTCTTCTTCCGCCAGCACAACGGCTGTGTTGCTACAGTTTTGTTCCTCACTTTCCTCCTGGTGAAGAGCAAATTCCACGCACGGGAATGGAATATAAGCAGAGCGTCATGGACTCAGCAGTGACAAAACACCCTGAGGCCACGTTCCTGGAAGAAAGAATGATACCTCAGTATATGTCCCCCCCCACACACACCCTGTTTAAAACCATATATAAATATCTGTTGGATTATCAAGTCTCCCGTATTTCTTCTTCTATTTTTATAGTGCCCGCCAGGCACTTTGTTTTATGTCTCCAATAGCACCTCCTGAAATAAACCAAAGCCACACTTGCTCAAGGCCCCTGGGGCAATGGAGAAGACCTTCCACCTCTTCGCAGCCCCAAGAACCAGCAGCTGCATGGTCCTATGCAAAAGGTATGTCTTGGCTGACCTGTCTTACCATGAGGGCAAAACCAAAACCATCATGGTTTTTTTTTTTTCCCCCCTTTATTTTTCTTTCTTTCCTGCCCCCTACCCCTAGTTTGTCTTTTGTTTCTCTGGGTTCTAACCCCTTTAGTGTGAGAGTGGCTTCTTGGGGGGTCTTGAGCTTGCCCTCTGCTCCCTGTGTGCATGCATACTTGGGCACAGGTGTGGGAACTGAGGCTTGCTTGGAACAGGGGAGGGGAGCTGTGTGGAGAATGGTGGGCTTTTGGCTTCTAGCTCTGAATGTAATTGCAGGAGAAAATAGCTGGGGAAGTGGGGAAGTACTTGGCCAACTCTACCTCCCTTGGCTAAACCTGGAAGTGGATTCCAGGGCACCGAGTGGGAGTTGGCTGCTAGATTCGGGTGGCAATGGGAGATGTGGCCTCAGGGGACTGCATGTCGGGTGGTGCTCCATGCTCTGGGTTCTGATTTTATGGCCAAGGGAATGAGTCCAAATTAAAGATGCTTGATTGGGCACAACACTAAATTGTGCTGTTTGGAAGATTCTTACCTCCCACAGAGTGTGGCCAGAGTCTCTAGCCTCCATGGGAGCACAGGTCCAGAGACATGGGTGGGAATTGTCATATAGCTTGGGTTGGAAGATCTGAGTGGCTGCCAGACATCAGGCTCCTTGAAGGTGTCTGGAAAGATCTACCTTGACAATTCAGCTTTTGCTACTCCTTGAGAATTGGACCACTCGTTCTAATAAAAAACCAAAGAAACAAAAGCAAGGACCCAGCCAAGAAACACACAGATGGAACTCTGTGCTTCCCTGATAGCCTGAGACAAAAAGGGCTTCCACATTTCTCC